AGATCTCGTGATATATCGATGCTAGAGACTTGATTTTACCACCATTCGACGCGTCTCGATGAGAGGATTCCAACGAGCTATGGCTCGTCCTTGTACGATCACTGGATAGTCGTATATTCGTTTTTTCGAATTTTTTCTTAATTTCGGATAGAACCGAACTGAACCGGACGGTTCCAAGTCCAAAACTGAACTGAGAACCGAACCGAATTTTTTGCCAGTTCCGGATCGGTTCCTGGTTCAAACTGGAACTGTTCGGAGCTTTAAATACTTCCAACATGATAGTAATGACTGAGCGGATAATATCAACGATTTTTCTCGTAGGCATCTTATTACGGGAAGAAAGCCCCACGTGTACTATGGGAGCTTGGGGTGCGTCTGCAAAGACTACTTCGGAGAAACAGCGTGAGTGTAAGGGGACGCTATCATTGAATTCCCAGAATTCGTCCAGAGAATCAAATACCCTATAACCATCAGCAGAATGATCCTGAATAACCAACTTAGTGTACAAATCATTATTTTCGTAGAATTCGCTTGATAAACCCATTTCGTACTCAATATTCTCCATTTTTATACACAACGTTTTAGTTTAATTATTAATACCAAAGCGAGTTTGTAAAAAAAACTAATATCTAAATGCACCAATACTCCTTTCTATAAGGTCCTTAGTGAAAACAGTGAGCTTCTCTACTTCGTACTGACCATCATACCCTAGATTCGTGAAGCGAATCCCTTCAGGATTCCATCTAGAACTGGATTAACTAGGACTTCATCCAGGAAGAGATGTACCCATTAATAGTTATCAATAACAAACATTTCTACGTTGTGATTAATAAGCCTATAAACAGAGCATCTTGTTGCTCTACCCCGCAGTTACTAACAGAGGAGGTTCTAGGAACCTAGGTTCATAGGGCAAGACGGTCAGTTCATAGGGGTAGTGTTTCCTATCAACTGCGAATCGTTTATTGTAGCATATCATTAGGTGGCTGAGTCAGATGGATTTTATTATCAATAACAAGCAGTACTATTATTTCCTGTATGCAGAAGCACAGCCTGAAGTACACACTATAAATATACTAAATAGTACATTGGAAATGGCAACATTGTGTCTATTGTTAAAACCTAAAAGTATTATTCGCAACGGTAGAACTATAATACAAGATACGGTAATTCTACAAAAACTTTGTTATGCCGCTAAATCTGGGTTTCGCATTTCTTTCAGAAAATCCTTGGTGTCCTATGCAATAAGAAAATGTATCGACATATAAATACTATTCCATCTACATCAATAGTATTAGGTAATTGTTTTAGCAAACAAAACTACCCAGTAGAGATATAGTGATGGCAACATTTTATTCTGATATTTTTGGGACACTATAACTTGAAAGAACCAAAGTTCCGCTTCTATTAAGGCCGCAGACGAGAAAAACTGATAATTGTAAAAGCCTAAGTAAAGTTATTCTCATTTTATTTACCACAAGCTGTGCGGTAAAAGTTTAGTACGTCTACGAAATGAGTTCAACTGCAGTAGATGTACAACGCCAGCATTTTCCAAAAATAATGCTCACCACTGTATGTATACTGTACAGAGTACACCAAAAAAGATGCTATTTGCACCGCGGCAGAAATATCATGTGATACTCTGAACCCAAGAACCTAGGTTCCTAGAACCTCCTCTGTTAAAAGCGTGGTTGAGCGGCAAGACGGTCAGTCACATGCTAGTGATGTAATCTACCGGTCACTTTAAGCTAGTAACAAAGTTATGTATTTTCTGATAATTGTTTCACATGAGATATAAATGGGCGAGAAATCGATAAAAGAAATTAGCAACAAAATAGAAATTTCGTGCAACTTCCTGTGTCAAACATTTGTCCAAAATGGAATGTGATAGCTACTACGTCATACCGCAGAAACATATACCATGGCAGGTTTAATGATCTTCACAACAGAGAGCACATGACATAGGACCCTAGGATATCGATGTCACATAATGCGCCTGTCAGACAAAAATATTGTAGGTATTGGAACTATCAGGAAATATACGAGATAGTAATGCTTGGAAGAATGAATGTCTGGAGACATTGCAAAGCAATACGGAAAATAACCACTTACCTCTCCATTGTTTATGTACTCTCAAGTCGGCCAATTCGACCCAGCTTAACTGATCAGTAATCGCATAATTCTCGCTGTCCATAATAAATGTATGCTGTATGTCACTATAAAAGTGAAAAACTTTTTCGTAAAAGAAAGTAAGACTTAATATTTTTTCATTCCTCACCTCTTCCAGTTGGTCCGGATCCAGCTCCACGGGGGTACAGTTACGTCTTGTCTACGAGTGTTATTTTTTTAGTTAACAGATGTTCGAACAACCATGTGTTTTGATTCAGATATCATCAAAAATGTCACCTGATTTTTTTGCTCCATGTGATTGTCTTGCCCTAGATTCCATCTAGAACTGGATTAATAAATCAAATGAATATGTATAGGTAAACTTTCCTCACAGGTCGAAGGGGCACCATTGTCCAAAATTCAAAAAATGCAAATTCCCCATTTTCCTGGAAAATGGTGGGAAATTGTGGAAAATGCTGCATTACGCTGAGCAATTTTTTAGAATAGCATTGTTACAACATTGTCCGATTTAGCAAATTTTATGAAATTTTGGGAAAATGCTACATTACACCTCAAATGTAACATTTCGTAACATTTCACGACATTGTCAATTAAAATCAAATTTTGCTTTTTTTTTGTCAAATGGTGCATTTTTATGAAAATTCCGCATTTTGCCACCAATGTAATATCATTGTAACAACATT